ATATATATATATATATATATATATATATATATATATATATATATATAATCTATTATTTGTTGAAACATGATTCAAAGACATAACTTGGGGTGTTTTGCTAAGAAAGCTTCTTGTGGAAGCTGCGTTGACACCAGTGTTGTGTTAATCTGTTTTGTGTTACTATAACAGAATACCAGAGACTGGATAATTTATAAAGAAAAGATGTTATTTTAATTCACATTTTTTGAAAGTCCAGGACCATGGTTTCAGCATCTACTTGGTTTCTGGTTAGGGTCTTGTGTTGCATCACATATGATGGAAAAGTGAAAGGGAAGTGAGTGTGTGACATAAGATCACAGTGAGAGAGGAAGGAAGAGAGCCAGCAGAGGAAGCCAAACTTACTTTATAACAACCAACTCTTACAAAAACTAATCCATTCTTGTAGGAGCTATATTAATCTTTTCATGAGAGTGAATCCCTGAAGTCTGAAAATGCCTTTTAAAAAGCCCCACCACCTGTCAACACTATCACAATGGGAATCAAATTTCTACATGAATTTTTATAGGAATAAACCATATCAAAACCATAGTAAATGTTATTCCTGTGGGATGCTGAGATTTTCTCATTTCTGCTAGAGAGGAACCAAGGTCATTCCTATCCTCAACTTTCCAGGAAAGACTAGCACAGATGGGAAACTGTCTTGGGGGTCCAGAACCTGTTCCAAAGAGGTGTTTAACTGAAGCAACTAAAATTGTGATGGACCTAGGACATGTATAAGTTTATTTCATACACAGCCAAGGTGAGAAAGGGCAGTCAAAGTCAGTTGTTAACTTGAAAGCAATCATAGTGCTGTAAATGGAGAGAGAATCTAGAAAGTTCACTGCTAGAGAGACACCATGGTGGAGAAAGAACCAAAGAACAAGAACTAGGTTACTTTGGAAGGACTCAGATGCAACCTTAATTAAAGCATTTGAGGTCCAGGGTTCATTCCTATTGGCCACCAGCCAGATGGGGGAATGTGGGTCACTCATCCTGTTACCCTATGCAGAAATCATTGCCAGTCATCTATTTTTTGTCCCTTGTTCCCCAAAGCTACAAGGTGCTCTTCAATGTCAGGAATGTAACATGTAAACAGTTAAAATTCTGAACATGAAATAGGTAAATGTATAGATTGTTTCTTCTGGTTGGCTTTGAACATTGAATACCAGGCAAATGTGTAGTATAAAAATGAGATCAGGATGAGGGAGGGGAGGGGAAGTGAGGATAGGAAGGACAATAGAATAAAATAGACATTATTATTGCTGTGGGTATAAACGTGACTATATGACCAATGTGATTCTGCAACCTGTACACTCAGAAAATGAGAAATTATATTCCATCTGATCCAAATGTATGATATGTCAAGATCATTGTACTGTCATGTGTAACTAATTAAAACAAATAAAAATAATAAATAAATAAATAATGAGACCAAGATGAAAGAAATCATTAATTTCCTTTCTCTTTCTTGTTTCTATATTTCAGATTTATCCTTGCTCACAAAGCAAGAAAATTGGCACGTCTTAACAAAGAAGAAAGGTAGCAAAAGAAGTGTTTCTTCTTCCTTCCTTCTTTCCTTTCGCCCCTCTCCATCCCTGTCTCCATCCCTGCTTTCCCTCTTTCTTTTCTTCTTTACTACCTATCTGCTTGCCTTTCGATTTTACTGAATTTTAAACTTACAAACTGCCCAATAATATGTGCATTGACAATACTGTGTGTCTGTTATGCTAATTATAAGGGTCTGGTTGTACAAAGGCACAGATCTGATAACTTAAGAACCAATTATTCAAATTAGTATTTATTGAGTTTATTGTACACCAGACACCATGCTAGGAACTATGAAGACTGTGGAAATGAATATAAACCAGGCTGAAAATGCACTGGTGGAGAAGATAACCAGGTAGAGAAATTACTGTGTTGCAGAGCCATACATGAGTGATGCATAGCAATTACAGATTATAGGTACAGAGGGACTGATTTCTCTGGAGGTGGCAATTTCTTCTGGCAGTTAGTATTCATCACTGCCAATTATGTATTCCCACACCACTACATATTTACCAACTAAGAGCCCTTAGTAACCTCATGTGCATTCTTTCCCCTTCTGTCAGCATGCTCCTTTGTGACCAGTGACATCTCTGTGTGTGGCCAGGGCTATAGAGGTCTGCTTAAGCCCTCATCTCAAAATGTCCCCATTGCAATATAAGATCCATGAAAGTTAGGAAGTGTTGTTTGGTTAGTTCACTGCAGCCTCTCTAGTGCCTGGAACAAATCTTTTCCCAATTTACCTTTTGATTATATTTATAGCTATTTTTTATACTATAGTATCATTTTATCTCTTTATCAAATTTATCCATTTTTAAATCATCACTGACAAATGCTCTATCATGCATAGAAAAGACTTTCCTATTGCAAGATGATTTTTCTTTTAAAATCACCAATTTTCCCACTACTTTTCTAGGCTCATCTATTTTATGCAAATCTTTAATCCTTCTGAAATATATTTTGGTATAAGAAGTAATATAAGGGTCCAACTTTATTTATTTCTTTCATGGGCAGCCATTTGTCCCAGAGCCATTTTATTGAATAATGTGTCATTTCTTCACTGGTTTAAAATGTTCACCTTTATGAATTCTAAATCCTTTTATATAATTGCTTCTATTTCTGAATTTAATTTTACTTCTTTGTTCTTTCTGGCTTTTTCTCTGCTTGTGCCAAACCATTTATGTAAAAATTAAGAGGGAGACAGAGAAAGGGAATGAGAGAGAGGAGAAAATATTAGGCATTTTAATACACCTTTATAAAAAAATTTCTGAATTCAAAATAATAATGATAATATTTTAAAAATTATTGGCTTAGCTTTAAAACATGTTCAAGACCTTTGTTAGCATTACTATTCTGTTAAAAACAGGCTTGAAATAACTTTATTTATATAAATATAGTTGACTAATTGAATTGAATAATCAACTCATTTTAGTTGACTAATTATAATGGTTGCCTTATTTCCAAATTCCCCATTAGACTTAAGAGCTACTATTTGTTCAACATTTATTTATTACATACCAGTTAGTGGGTGGAGAAATTGACATCAGTGGTTTTCAAACTTGAGAATCATCTGGAAGATTTGTGGAAATGCAGATTGATGCTACTACCCTTGCTGAATTAGGAGGTCTGGGGCAGGACCTGAGAATTAACATTTCTAACAAGTGCCCTCATGGTGTTGATGCTGTACATCTGGGAACCACTGTTTTCCATCATTAATGAAAAAAACCATGGAGATTGTTGTTAAAAATAAAGCTCAGAAAGCTCTAGTAATGTGCTTGAGATCTCACAGTATCTAAGAGGCAGAAACAGAAATCACAGCTTTTCCTGCTCCATACATTCTCCACTGTACCCACCACAGCCTCATAGTAGGGAGGGAGATAGAGGAAGGTAAGTAGAGCTATATTGTCACCCTCTCAGACCTCAGTACTTACTAAGGCAGATGGACTGACACTTAAGAGGTACCTGGTCTCTTTTATCCAACAAACGAAGAAATTGCCCTGGGTCCCCTAGTGATTTGAGCAACACATTATTTGATTTTCTTAAAGATTTATCAACAATCCATGATTCATATTTGTGATCTCATTGGTTTAAGACATTTGAGTTAGGACAAAATGCCTTGATCTAAAAACTTAAAATGAAGTGTTGAAGTAGAAGCAATGGCTTACAATCTTTTTTATTTTTTAATTTGCCTATAATTTCACAGCTGGTGTGTGCCTGGGTCTACATTTTATTTTGACTATAAGTTCTATTTTTCTAGATGAGGTTTATAATATACAGTATTAAGTGGCCCTTAATCACTTGGCCTACTGTTCTTTTAAAAATTCTTTTTAGTTGTATATAACATTAGGGTACATTTTGACATAATCACAAAAGTATGGAATACAACTTGCTTACCGAGTCTTTCTTATAAGGGGATGGGTGCCCCTCACTTTTTCTTTCCCTTCCTTTCTTCATCTTCACATTTGTCTTTTCTGTTGTTATTGTTGTTCTGTAGGCTGAGGAAACTGTGTGAGCTCTATGCAAAAGTTCTGGGCTCCCAGGAAGCTCTGAAGGTAAGACTGCTTCCCATCTCTTTCCTAAAGGTGATAGAACTTGTTCATCCTGAAGCAAGGATGGGTTCACACATATAGAGTCCTAGAGCTCATGTTTACTCTGATATACTTTCAGAGGATCTGGTTAATTTATAAGTGGTCCCAAAGAGTATGGGTCCTGGATGTGCTGATGGCAGGTAAGGAACTTTGTGACATGTTGTGGTTTTGGTGGTGCTACACTTGTCCCTGAATTCAGAGCTCTACCTGGAGCAGGTTGTTGGGCTCCTCTGCCTCCAGCTCCATCAGGAGGTGAAGAGGGTAGGGGTTTCAGCTACCCATAGGAGTTTCTGGATCCTGGAAGCCAGGATGGGGATGAAAAATAGCTTTCCTTTATTCTGGTGAACTTGTAAGACCAGAGTCTCATTCATGCCCACAAACTAACACTCACTTCAGTCTCACTGTCTTACAGTTAAAAATAGGAGGACCTGTCCCCCTCCCTGTAATGTCCCCTTTTCTGCCTTGTTTTACCCTTGAACATTAGGGATGGAAGGAAGACAGGCTGATGCCAATCCCTGTTAGATGAGTTTCCTAGACACCTTTGGAAGTAATCCTGAGGAAATGATGATCTTCAAATTAATCAAGTAGAAGTCTGATATGGTTACAGGTCAGGGTGGGGGCAGGTAGGAGAGGGTGGCAGTGTGGTAAGCAAGCAAACCAGTACTTCCTTGGGACGTTTAGTGACAGAGGGCCCAAGGTACTCATAACCATCTCCCTCATCAATATTTAAAATGACAAATTGCTGTTCTTGTAATGATCACCAGATTGATGGATTTTTACTGCTTTGACATGGATTATATCACCTTTTGAAAGTGGTTATTAAACCCAGGTACCCATGAACCATTTGAGGACAGTGGAGAGTGATGTACAAATGAGCAATTAAAATGTGAAAAAAAAAGGCTGGTGATATAGCTCAGTTGGTAGAGTGCTTGCCTAGCATGCACAAGGCCTTGGATTCAATCCCCAGTCCCACAAAATAATAATAATAATAATAATAATAATAATAAAATCTAATGAAGGAGCTGAAAATGTTTCACTAGTAAACCACTCAGACACAAGTCTCTACAATATATACCATAATCTAGCTGAACAGCTACATAGCTTAGTGCTATTGCTCTAATATATACATTGCTCGGTTTTGGAGTGGCTGACTTCCTCCAGGTAAAGTAGTTGTGGCTTTTGATTTTGTTGACCTTTCTTTATTTTCTTCCTTTCTTCCTTCCTTTCTATAATGCCAGGGATAGAACCCAGGGGTGCTTGGCCACTTAACTGTATCCCCACACCCATTTTTTTTTTTTTAAATTTTGAGGCTGGGTCTCACTAAGTTACCCAGGATGGCCTTGAACTTACAATTTTCCTGTCTTGGCCTGCCAAGTGGCTGGGATTACAGGTGTGTGACACCAAACCTGGCTTTATTCATTTTTTTAAAACAAAATTTTTAATTCCATTAGAGATTATCTGTGCTTGTTATAGGTGAAACACATGCTCTCAAGGGTTTTTTGAAATTCTTGCTCAATAAATGAACAAAAACTAGTCATTGATTGGTTTGGGGAGAAATATAATATTAATGAAAAGTATGCTTTGTTTTTTTATTTCATATGCCATTAGTAAATATAAATATAAACATAGACTCTAGGCCTCAGGGTGGTATAGCAAACCCAAAATACACACTAAAACAATCACTTAACATCTGTTAAAATTCATTAGATTTTTGTTTTGTTTTGTTTTTGGTTTTCATTTTGTGTTTGCTTAAAAATGCTATTAGAGATATTCCAGCTTCTTTGAAGTCACATTCTTAGACATTCTCAGGCTAAAGCAGTTTGTAATTGAAGTTCCTCCAGCAACTTGTGAGGTGGTTGTCTGGCGAGGAAAGCAATTATTCTCATATTTCTCAAAAAAAGAGTGGTCATTTTCATTTGGAAAAATCTCTTTCTAATGTGGGATGATTAATTCCAGATGATAAAAATGAGTTGGTTCTGTCCTTGTATGGTTTTGTCATAGAGAGAGAGACACTTGCTTTACTCTTGCTTTAATGTGTATTGTGTGGAAGGAAAAAATATTCTGAAAGCAAAGAAAGGTGAAAGTGCAAATTTTCTTGAAATTGCCTGCAAGCAGTCAGAGAAAGATGCTCAAGAGGTGGCTACAGCCCTCAGATGCCAGAGCATGCTGTATTGGGGACACCACAACAGACCTGGAGCCACTAAACCCATCAGGCGAGGCTTCATCCTTTGCAAATCGGATGCCTTAAGAATGACTATCCAAAGTCAGTTATGCAATTGCAAAAATTTTTTTAAACAAAACATCTTTCAAGTCTATTTTAAAGAAACATTTTTTTCTCTTAAAACTTGCTATGTTGATTTTATCTTTTCAAAGTAATGTTTAATGATAAATTATCTATTTAGTTTTTACCCCCTGGGGATTGAACCTAGGGCCTTGCTCATGCTAGGCAAATGTTCTTCCACTGAGTGACTCCCAGTACTTGTTTTTTTTCTTACTTATTATTAGAGCTTTATAGTTACACATAATTACCAACCAACTCATAAATGTATGGAAATTGATTTCAATTCATGATACTCCCTTTTACCTCCTGTCCTCCCTCTCCTCCTCTCCCTTTCTCCTTCCTCAACTTCACTTGACTTCCTTTAGACTGTCTATTAATTTATATTTGATTGCTTCTTTATGTTATCCTATCCTTTCCTCCCTGTTTCCTTTATTTTACTCTAGTTTCCACATATGAGAGAAAACATTCAAACTTTGAGTTTCTGAGTTTGACTTATTTCACTTAGCATGTTATTCTTCATTTCTATTCATTTACCAGCAAATGCCATAATTTCATTCTTCTTTATGACTGAGTAGAACTCCACTGTATGTGTGTGTGTGTGTGTGTGTGTGTGTGTGTGTGTGTGTGAGAGAGAGAGAGAGAGAGAGAGAGAGAGAGAGAGAGAGAGAGTATGTGTGTGTATCTCACTATTTCTTAATCCATTAATCTATTGACTAGCATCTGGGTTGACTTTATAATTTAGCTATTGTGAATTGTGCTACTATAAATATTTAGGTGGCTGTATCACTGTAGTGTGCTGATTTTAGATCTTTTGCCAGCCCTTGTTTTTTAAAAGAAGTTCAAACTTTGTACAATCTCACATGAAGTATTGCCTATTAAGGCCAATATTTGTTTACAAGTACCACCATCAACAGTAACACCTGCGTGCCACAAAACCTAGGTTTATCTTCCCAGCTCCCCTTAACAAAGCTCATCTTCACAAGAAAATATGAATCTGCTCATCCTTTTTCTTTTTTTTAAAAAAATATTATTTTAGCTGTAGTTGGACACAATACCTTTATTTTATTTATTTATATGTGGTGCTGAGGATCAAACCCAGGGCCTTGCACATGCTAGGTGAGCACCCTACTGAGCCATAACATCAGACCCTATCCTTTTTCTTTGACAGACATGTTTTTCTGATTTTTTCTGTCCAACCACTCCAGTAAGCACAACTTCTTTTTAAAAACATTTCTCAAAACCATTAGGGACTACAAACCTCTTAATAGATCAGATCAAGTTAAATATGGAAATAAATTACAGCTTATGAACAGTACTTATGGCAAGACATGCACAAACCAAGTGAGAAAATTTACTAAAACCTGAATTTCTTTGAGGTTTCTTACCCAAAACATTGATCTGCCTAAAGAAAAATCTTGAAAAAACCAGGATAAGGGGCTGGGGACATAGCTCAGTTGGTAGAGCGCTTGCCTTGCATGCACAAGGCTATGGGTTTAATCTCCAGCATGCCCTGGGCTCAATCCCCAGCACCACACACACACACACACACACACACACACACACAGAGAGAGAGAGAGAGAGATACACCCACACACACAAACTGGATAATGAGACTCTATTTCAGAAATATAGGCAAATTCTGTACGTATGGATTCAACCAAACATGATGGAAAATATTTGGAAAAAATGCATTTATAATGAAGATGTACACAATTCACAATAGCTAAACTATGGAACCAACCTAGATGCCCTTAAATAGATGAATGGATAAAAAATGTGGCATATATACACAATGGAATATTACTCAGCAATAGAAGAGATTAAAATCATGGCATTTGCAGGTAATTGGATGGCATTAGAGAAGATAATGCTAAGTGAAGTTAGCCAATCCCCAAAAACCAAATGCTGGATTTTTTTCTTTGATATAAAGAGGCTGATTCATAGTAGGGTAAGGAGAGGGAGCATGGGAGGAATAGATGAACTCTAGATGGGGCAGAGGGGTGGGAGGGGAAGGGAGGGGACATGGAGTTAGAAATGATGGTGGAATGTGATGATCATTATTATCCAAAGTACATGTATGAAGACATGAATTGGTGTGAATATACTTTGTATACAACCAGAGATATGAAAAATTGTGCTTTATAAGTGTAATAAGGATTGTAATGCATTCTGCTGTCATATATAAATTTAAAAAATAATTTAAAAAATAATGAAGATGTACATACTTTTTCTTGTTATTTTTAAATAAATGTTATGGTACAAAACAGTAGTTTTACATAGCATTTGGATTGAATTAGGTATTATAAATCATGTAGAGATGATTTAAAGTATATGGGAGAATATGCATAAGTTATATGCAAACAATATGCCATTTCATATGAAGGACTTGAAAATCCAAGGTTTTTGGTACCCATCAGAGGATCTGGAACCAATTTCCCTTGGATTATGAGGAACGACTGCAAATTGGTTCTCTACTATGAAGTCTCCTAGACTGTGTTTGATTTATTCTAGACAAGATCTTTCCCTCTACATCTCCTTCAGGCTGTTGTCACTGTGTCTTACAGCCAGTGCACTATGAAGAGAAGAACTGGTGTGAGGAGCAGTACTCTGGAGGCTGCTACACAACCTACTTCCCCCCTGGGATCATGACTCAATATGGAAGGTAGAGTAAAAAAGTGCTAAGCAGTGACTGAAATCCCCTGCATCAGAACCCAAACTCTTTGTATCACTTCTCTCCTCTGTTTCTTATAAATACCAACCAAAACAAAAGAAAAATAAATACCAAACAAACTAAAAATTAAAAAAAAGAAAAAATCCCCAATTTGTTTGTGTCTTGTGATTCTCAGGAATGAAGCACCATGATACTGCTTTTCATGCTTCATTCATCTGGAAGAGTAATCCCAGTCAATATAACCAAAGAAAGCTAGGGCATAAGAAGGGCATAAGAATAGCTATAGGGATAGTCAGAGGGTTCACTTATATTGGCAGAAGAAGGGTCCTTATACTGAATTTAGAACTAAGTCAAACTTCCTCCAGTGCACCTCTGTAAGTCCAAGATGGGTGCAGCATTATAAACATGAAATGAGTTCTAGACTGGTGTGAAAGGACTTAGGTTCCTGTTTGGACTACCAATAGCCAACTTTGTTATCTTGGACAAATTGCATTTCTCTGAGTCTCACTTTTCTTAGCACGTGGATAGAAATGCACAAAATGGCATATGATAAACAATAATCAGTGCATTAATCAGAGTACAAGTTATTTGAATGACTTTATTGAGATATAATTTATATCCCATGACCCTCCCATTCAAAGTACACTGTTCAATGACATTTTGTATTCACAGCATTGTGCATCCAAGTATGATCCACTGAAGTTTTTAGTTAATTGTATTTGATGGCAATTAACATGGCATTAATTAATAATATAGCAGTAATTATTATGACCATTATAGTTACACTAAACTAGGCAATCATGTAATGGCAAGAGCTCAATCAAAATAAAATGGGAAATGTAGAATAGTGAGTGAAAGGCTGTTGAGAGTAGTCAACACACAAAGGGTATGAGTAAATGGAGTTGCCTAATCAATAAGTCCATAAAAACCTAGAGAGATTAAAAGCTGTTTTTTAGAAGATGCATAATGATTTTGGTTAGCACTTTCCTTATCTTCTTGCACATGGCAAAATATGATCCAAGAGAACATTCTGGGGCCAAAGAGCACTACCTGATAAACTATTGAATCATTAATTTTCAGATATGCTAAGTGTAGAATAAGTCAATAGTAATTCTTTCATTTCGTATATATTGGCTAAATGCCAGCTCTTTGTAAAACATTGTACTGGAAACTTAAATATCAAGGACACCCCTCCCTGCTGAGGGGCTGACAGTGTGGTGGGTCAGGATGGGTATGAGGTGGGGACAGAACATTAAAAAAACGATTGGTTTTAAAGTATTGAGGTAAGTGCTCTAATAGAGGGACATAATAATACCCTGGGAATACAAGGAGGTATGAGTTCACCTCACCCAGGAAATCTGCAAAGGCTTCACAATGCAGTGTGTAGGAAACAAAAGGCCACTGGGGATACAGTCTAGGCAGATGGCACTGCATGAACTAATGCTTGGAATCCTGTAAGTTCTTAGAAGGTCCAGGGCAAAGCTTAGCATGGCTGGGCTATAGGTGATATTGTGGATGGCATAGAGAATCAGACCAGAAATTTCTATAGGTTATTTTGCCTCATGTGACACATTCAGAAATATAAAACTTTGTTTTTCTACAAAGAAAGGGCACCATTGCAGTGGTTTTGTTTTTGGTTTGGTCTTAAATCCAAAGCGAGATGTCATGAGATTTTTGACCACAGAGTGGCAAGTTTTATATTCAATCCCATAGACTATCAGGAAAATGCCTTTTGGAGCTGGGAGCAAAAAAGAACACTCACACTGGCCTGATCTTGATCACGTGAGAGAAGCATGATAATATCATTGCATCAGTCATTGGCTGTAACATGGTTATACCTTCTTTCATCTCTGTTCTTTCCACGGACATATGCCAGGCTTCATATCACTACCTTCAAGTTGTAGAGTAGAAACTAAGGCACAGCATAGTTTAATGACATATTCCAGCCAGAGCAGAGACTATTTCCCCACAGGACATCCCCTGACTCTTCAGAGCAGTGGCATTTGGGACACTGCAAAGAGTCCGATCTTTAGGGCACAAGAAGGACACAGTAAAAGTTCTGTTTCCAGAAGGAAGACAGAAGACAGAGTTCAAGGTACAACTTTGCAAAGAACAGAACACACATTTCTTAAGCATTTTTTCCTTCTGAATACAAATAAAAACTGATTGTAACAATTACATAGTAAAACGCATAAGCTACCAGAAATAAATGTGGATCTCTCCATTTATGATATTTTATATATTTTTGTGAATATATACTGTCTGATCACTCACATACAAAAGAAGGGGGAGGAATTTTCTTATCTAGCTGTGGAACTTGTTTTTCTCTCAAAACAATTTCCACATGACAGTGGAGGGAAACTATCTCTTTTGTCTGTTTAAATTAATTCTTGAGTTATACGTTTCTCTATTCTGATTGTGAGTATGATTAATTCTCTAAGCCGGTTGTCCCTCTTCTAATCTTTAACTCTAGGGCTTGGCCAGACCTCCCAGAAGTCTCCAAATGGAATAAATTCCCTCTGTAAAAAGTGAACAAGCAGTAAAATACATACAGCATAGTTTAATGAACATGGAGTGGGAAAATCCACCTTCTTTTGCAGGAAACCTTTCCTGAATACACCTAAGTTCTTCATTATTTCATATTATTTCATGTTATTATTATCAGCTTACCAATATTATATAATATCTTCTCTTGTATTTCCTCTCCCTTTTTTGATGATAGCAATAAGGACAGGTGAAGAAAAATCTATCAATTTAGGCCAACCTGTTCACTTTTCTGATAAGAAGTCCAGTGGTGTATAGTGTTCACTAAAGTGCAACATGAATGTGAGCTTTGGACATTCTTTATCTGATACAATACAAATAATGACTTGTGGGCAGTGCTTCTCTTATGACATTTATTTTCAGTTTCGATATACTTCCCCTCTTACAGGCCAAATGCCATGGCACTTGCATTCCTTTGCACAGCATGTGGGCACTCTGTTAACTGGTAATGGTGATGATATACTAGGAAAATTGTATAGGATAAAATCAGAAACTGACTTCTGTGGGATCTGGTTCAAACCCTGACTCTATTTTCTATCAGTGTAGCTCTTGGTGAGTCACTGCACATTTCTCCCAGTCTCAAATTCTTCATGTGTACAAACAGATAATGATAATAATAGCTATTCATAAAACTCTTGAAAAGATTGAAAATTAAGCTAAAAAGAACAAAAATAAATAAATAAAACGTTATCTTTGGTATTAAAAAGAAAATCAATGCAATATAGAGAGGAAGAATAACCGGTTGACTAAGACTGTTGGATTCCAGATTCATATTATTTGGGTTCAAATGTAGTTCTGCCACTTATACTCTGTGAGCTAGAACAAATTAGTTTGTCTTTGTAGCTGGCTATGTTCTAGGAAACAGTCTCTGAAATAATTAGGGTGTATGTTAGTGCATACCCTTGAAATTTAACACTGGTGGAAAGGAGAGTCCAGTCATAGTCAACCCTAGCAGAGGAAAGTGCTCAATGAATGGTAGTTATGAAGCCATAAGGCTCATGGATTTGTTCTATGTTGGTGATCAAAACAGTATTAGAAATCACCAGACCATCCCCTTGAAGAGATGGGGGAGCCAGAACTCAGTGAAAGGAAGTGATTCATCAAGTTCATTGGTGGAATAACCAGGTGGGAAATTGGGGGCACCTGTCACTTTACCCAGAGATGGTGAGCCATGAAGGGAGCCATATGGGGCTGGGTTCCTATAGTCCCTACTTCATGTAGGTGAAGCAAGTACATATTTTGCCTCCATTGATGTCAGCTCTCCTTTAACTGTGAGCTCTTGGTACAGGAGTAGACTTTGGCTTGTATCCATTTTTGTCTGTGTCAGAGATGATGCAAAAGCTGTGAGAACCTAATGAACATTATTCCGAAATTACCAATATCCTCCTTAAAGTTTTGAATCTGAAGAAACTGACCAGCCTTGATCTTTGTGGGAAAGCTCACCTCTGACTGTCAGTCAGTAAGCACACTTACCTCTTTTCTTTTGTTTCCAGGGTTCTACGCCAGCCAGTGGGCAGGATTTTCTTTGCTGGCACTGAGACTGCCACACACTGGAGTGGCTACATGGAGGGGGCTGTGGAAGCTGGGGAGAGAGCAGCCCGAGAGGTAGGGCCCATTGTCATGGGCTGTGGGCAAGGAAACAACACATGGACCTAACAAGAAGATCAAAGATGTCTGAGATCCTGGTGGCCATCCCCCACCCCATAATCTCCCTTTGAAGAACAATATAATGGTGGTTTCAAGTAAAAGGAAACTCCTTAACCTAAAAGTAATAACCAGAATATCGAACATATCACCCAAAATAAAAAGAGCTTGTGGGATTACACTGGAAAGATAACCTAGGTCTGATACTATAGAATCAGACATGTTTCTATTAGGATTCAGAATTCATTTTTATCTTTCTTGACAATTCCTCTGATCTCATTGCCATTAAAACATGTTCACAACTAATAAAATTTATGGTAAAACTCTTGGAGCCTTTTAAAGATCGAGTAGATTGCTCTAGCCTTTACTTTGATATTTTTGATGGAGACATTCACTTAGTTCTATATCCAAAGACCAGGTTAGGAGAAGGATGGTATAAAATTTTCTCTTCATGAAGGTGTTCCTTTCATTTCAGATCCTGCATGCCATAGGGAAAATTCCAGAAGATGAAATCTGGCAGCCAGAACCAGAGTCTGTGGTAGGCTATATTTTACTTCATGAATTTAGATGTCAATCCAAAGATTGGATTGACAACCATCTTTCCTAAAAGCAGTTATTTGCAAGAAAACACACATGGTTGTATATCCATAGGCCCTTTCTTAAGTAGTTCACCCCATGAATGTTTAAATAGGCATCATGGGTTAGGGCAGAGGTGAGAGGTTTAGATGAACTTTGATTAATTTGTAGCTGCCACGCCCATTGCATGTTATTAGAAAAAAATTATTTTTTGATGAGGGGAAGACACTCCTCTAAACTTATTTAGAACTCAATAGGAAGCTGGAGATATACCTCAGTGGTAGAGCATCTGCTTAGCTTGCAGAGGCCCTGGGTTCAATCCCCAGCACCACAAAACAAACAAAAAAAATAAAAAAACAAAGAACTTAATAAATGTCTTTTGAATAAATATATGACCTCATGAATCTCTACAAGAGGAAAGAAAAGAAAGGAAAGTATATTATCTCCAGTCCAGGAGCAAAGGGATAGAACAAAATGGAACATATTTAGATTAAAATTTATTTTAATATACTTATTTTTTTTGTAATAAAACCCCAGGAAGTATTCCTGGATAGAAGGAAGAATGCATAAAAATTAGAAAGAAAATTCATTGTAGAGGACAAAAGGCAAAAAGGTCAAACATTTCTCTATCTTTATGAGTCAAAGAGAATAACCCTGATACTCCAAAGTGATTTTCTAGTGCTTCTACTAGAGATGGGATTGTGGACTGCAGGGACCAATGATGCATTTGCTCAACAAAATTTTATGGCCCATGTGTTCTGCATTGGCCATTGAACCAAGGTTATAGCAGTGCTTTCATAGGGCTCCCCATGTGGTGGGAAATACAGATAATGACCCAACAAGCACAGAGTATGACAGAGAAGATATGCTGAAGGAAAATGTAAAAAGAGGGGATCATCTCAGGCTGGGGGCCGCAGAATGGCTCCCTATGGATGTGAAGTGGGGAAGAGGGAGTGAGTGGTTTAGCAGAGTCATGTTTTAATGACCTAGAGGTTGGGCAGAGTGAATCACTTTTGGAGCAGTGGTGGAAGTAGAATCTTTGAAATGAAGTACACAAGCCCTGTGCTAATACCAAATGTTCTCTGAACCCAGGATGTCCCTGCACGACCCATTACCACGACCTTCTTGGAGAGACACTTGCCCTCCGTGCCAGGCCTGCTAAGGCTGATTGGATTGACAACCATCTTTTCAGCAGCAGCTCTTGGCTTCTTGGCCTACAAAAGGGGGTTATTTGTGCGTGCCTAACAGGATCTGTAACCACACCCTCTTCTTACTCTATATGGGATATGAGCTTGGGGAAGGGATTGCAATAAAATTCTACAAAGACATAAAGAATGCTGAATGAGTTGGGGAGCAGGAGAATAAGTCAGACCCCAAGAAACAGTGTATCTTTCTTTGTGTTGGCCCCTGGCTAGCATCCCTTACCTAGCTTAGCCCCCTGCCCCAACCATTTCCAAGTTTATTGCCCTTAGAATCTTTAGAATGATAGATTTGTTTAAGGTCCTTGCTTTCCCACTATATACCTTGCCCATATGCACGTAGCTAGTTTTTGCCCATCTATGTGGCTTTCTGCTTGTCCTTCTTTATGCCTATAATATCCTCCCTTTACCAAGTTCTCTGCATTTGTCCTTAGAATCCTGTATTGTTATAGTTGGAAAACCCTAGAGACCATGTAATTTTCATCTTCTGTTTTAGAACTGAGTAAATCAAAGTTGTCAGAAGTGGAACTAATTGCCCAAGATCCACAATAAACCACTGGTATTTGGGTGACTGGAACACAGGTTCAATGCTTTTCCCATCTCCCAAGATGAATTCTCCAATTGTCCTCTTGCCCGCCCCTGCCATCATTGCTAATGGTGTCCCGTGTGGGGGTGTACTCTGTACTATGTTGTATTGTGCAGCTCCAATGCTATTCAGTATATACCCTTAAGCATTGATGTCTTGTTCACTGTCTCCAGCTGACTTTAATTTTTTGAGAGTAGGAATCTTGTCTTTGTCTTTCTTTTGTATCCTCCATTATGTCTCCACACAAAGATCAGTACACACTTCAGTAATTAAAAATAAAGCTGATTGAGCAGATGTCTGCTGTCTTTTCTTTTCTTTTTGGGTAATGACCTTCAAGGTTTTGACAGACCAAATCAAGATCCACTATTAGGTATATAATTGTGGCTTGAAAGCATTTAGTCAAAATTTTCCTGAAGCCCGGTTGATGCATGCATTTTGATTGTGTGATCCATCATGGGTGGCATATGTGTGAAAACTTGGTAAATGATTTATAATGATATGGTGAGGAGGTTAAGTGACATGATTCCTTGCTCTTATTCCCCTAAAAAATTTTGAAAATAATTGACATATTAATAAGCAAAATGCTTCATTATTAAGGTAATTATATTTCAGTTGACCTTTCATATTCTTTATCAGTGCAAAGCTTTTAACTAAGTATACTCATTAATTTAAAACTACAGTTTCACAGCCCATTAATTCCTATTTGAACTACTTTTTAAATGATATTATCATTTCAAAGCACTCATGCCTCTTGACACTCAAGGTTGGTTTTTATCAGGATGTATTTAAAATCCACAAATGACCATTTTCACACTCTCCTTTAGAAAAATGAAGCTGATTATTCTTAGCATAAGTGAAATATAAGAAATACTCCAGGATTAATAAATAATAATATAGAGTTTCTGATTTTACACTGACATTCACATACATGAATTTATAGGAAGTGTGGAAACTAATGAGGAAATTAAAGAATCCACAACTTTCTTTATGACTCTTTTAGTTTTTTGAATCTGTTCAAAAATGTTATGTAGGGGCCGAGGATATAGCTCAGTGGTACAGTACTCACTTAGCATGAGAAGGCTCAGGGTTCAATCCTCAGCACTGCAAAAAATAAATAAATAAATAAAAAGTAACAAGAAACATACTTGGCACAGAGGTGTCTTCTTGAGCATGTACCCTTCTGAGAAGTCCCCTTAAAAAGTTGTCACATTGGGGCTGGGATTGTGGCTCAGTGATAGAGCACTCACCTAGCATGGGCGGGACCTGGGTTCGATCCTCAGCACCACATAAAAATAAAGGCATTGTGTTGTGTCCATTTACATCTAAAAAATAAATATTTTTTAAAAAGTTGTCACATTACTGGGCTGGGGTTGTGGCTCAGCGGTGGAGCACCTGCCTAGTCCATGCGGGGTGCTGGGTTTGATCCTCAGCACCACATAAAAATAAATACATAAAATAAAAGTATTAAAAAAGTTGTCACATTACTAATGCCAATATGTCCATCAAAAAGAAGTCAATACATCATCTATAATCAGAAGAATGAGAAATTATATTCCATTATATATAATGTATCAAAGTGCATTCTGCTATCATATATAACTAATTAAAACAAATTTAAAAATTAAAAAAAGAAGTTGAATAAGGAATTACATTCACCAAATATATCCTGGACTTCCATCTGGGAGAGGTGACCCTTTTATTTGTTCTCCCAAAACCACATGCAAAAATTCCCATCCCCTACTTACCATGTGAAATTGCAATTGTACAATCTTGTTAAAACACATGATTTGACTGAGGTGCCAAGTTATATTTGTTATCAGTTACCAAGGTGAGTCTGGAGATAGACAAAAAATGGGAAATGTCAAAGGAAATACCTAGAAGTTTCCTTTTTGAATCCTGTTACCAGTTTTGAGGATATAAAAAGAGTGGGGAGAGGGTTTTGAAAGAATAGATTTGTGAAAACAACTCTTTAGAAAGATCTACAATGTTCTGAGGTGGCATATGTGTGAAAAGAGAGGGTTGGGGGCTACCTTCTTATTCCAAGTCTAATGAGGGGACTTCAAGGTTAATTCTTCACCATTACAGAATCTGAAACCCTGGGTCCTGCTCAAGATAATGACCTGTGAGAGGCTGCTAGAGAAACTTCCAGAAAACAGAAGCTGAACAGGAGTCAAATTTGGCTAACCAAAAGATCTTGTGGTACTATCTGAGTTGTGGTTGTCAAAGTCAGGACCAGTATGAGAGTGTCTGAAAAAAAAATCCCATAAGTGTCTCCATAAGAAAAAGCCAGTTCTCCAAATACCCTGGATCAGAAACTGTTTTTAATCTGTCTTTTCAACCTCCTTGTCTCCTGTGGTACCTGTGCCTTCAGAGTGTTTCCAACAAATAAATAAATAAATTCCTGAACTTTTCATTTTAATTCTGAATTGACAATTCTGCTGTACCTACCTAGCAAACAGAATACTTCCAAGGTCTCTTTTGCAGAAAACTATGATTTTTTTTTCGTATATTAATTTTGAGAGTATCATTGGCCTTATTGACTATATTGTAGTTGAGGCAGTACTAATAGTTTCCTTCTTGGGTAGATTGATGGATCTAAAACTGATTCTCAACTGGAGGTGCACATCAGAATGATTGGGGGGCTTTGGAGAGACCATGTATTTTAAATATTATAACAGGTTGGTAGGAGGATCACAACATCTTCACAGACCTTCTCTGTGAAGGTCTTAACCACAGGCTAAGATACAGGAAGTTTGAAGATACAGGAAGACTTGAAAATCTGGTGTTGAGCCTGTCACAGCTCTGCTGCTCTGTCCTCACCCTCTTTCAGCTGCCCAGCTATAGCCTAGTGGAAAGAAGATGCATAGAAAATGATTTGGAGTCAAAGGAAACAGTGTTGCTCTTTGAAATAACATTAAGCATTAATTCAACAAATTAAAGAGACGTTTCCTAGATCATAGGAACTGCTTGATTCCTGAGTCAAAACATTCTGTGGGTTGCCAGTGGTCCATAAGTTGGTGTGACTCCAAACCTTCCTGTGACAGTGGTGAAGACAAAGTGTATACAGGAGAGAGCAGGCAAAGTCACAGGAATGGGGGTAGGCTACCCCAAATCTCGAGGATTGATAGTAAAGTGTTTTGTGTATCACTCAACTTATTGAGACATCTCAACAGCAGTGACTAATGCTCTAGGGCATCATTAGATCTGACTGAACCACAGTAGAAATGATCTTTCTTACTTCTTTTTGCCTATGGTTTTTCTATGGAAGCATGTACCTAAAAAGAGACATCTTTACTCTGCTAACATTCACCTGCCCTCTTCTCTGCTTTCATTCAAACTTTAACTTTGCTTTTTCCCAATTTCTTAGTGCTGTATTATTACATACCCTTTAAGATCTTGTTTCCTGGACATCTATTAAAAATTATTTTACTTCCTTCTTAACTTTGGGTCCAAATTAAGTAAAATAGATCTTACATCAAAGTAGGGTATTTTTTTCTCAGTCTTCATTTCAATAATGGAGTTACCTTAGTAACCAAAGAATAGTCTAGGAGATTCTGCACTCAAGAGGAATGAGTAGACAACTTACTGAAATATATTAGTGGATTTTTGTTATTGCTTGTTTGTTTCCTGTTAACTTTTTTTAAGAACCAAGGAGGACTCATTTGAATTAATTTTTTTTTCTAGTGACAGATCTTAATGATATTTCAGCTTGTGGACTCTAGAAACCAAGCTTCTGTATTAGAAATATCCTGCAATTACCCTAGACTGCTACTTTCTGATGTAATTGCTCTTGTCATTTCTACTGAGACCATGTGATGAGTCACTGACAAGTCATATACTACTCCATCAGGATGACATTTCAGCTTTTGAACCCTAACCCTTTGACCCCTTCTTTCACTTTTTTTAAAGATCTTTAATCCCTAACATTTCTTCCTTAAGCATTCTGGTCCAATTTCTTCTCCTTAAAAATCCACTTCCCGGGCTGGGGCTGTAGCTCAGTGGCAGAGAGCTTGCCTAGCATGTATGAGGCACTGGGTTCTATCCTTAGCACTGCATAAAAAAACTAAACAAATAAAGGCATGCTGTTAACCAACAACTGTAAATTTTTTATTTAAAAAAAAATACACTTCCCTGCAAAGCAAAGTGCTGAGTGGAGTTTCACTATTGCTCTTGATTTGACACATCTGTGTCTTACTGCTAGGCTGTTTCATTGCATTATACTTTCTTTCCCCCAACCTTCTATCAGAAACCTTTTAAATACTAGAGTCACCCCAGGATTATAGAAAATCCAAGATAAAATTCTGGAGATTTTTGGTTTGTACAGAGAGGACCACCAGCTATTTTAGAAAAGAATAAGTGCTGCTTCAGACTTTAAGTCCCTAATCTCACCACTGAATCCCTTTTCTCTGGCTTTGTATTGTCTCCTACTTGATCTCCTTTTCTTTGCCTAGTGATACCAAATTCTTAGGTCTTAATTTCACTGGATAAGGCTGGCATTGAATACATAAAATTTATTCTGGAGCCAAGGGCTCCTTGGGGCTGTTGGTCCTTTGGCCTATGTATCCAGATATTTTGTGAGCATTCCAAGGACAAAATTGTCTTCAAATTAACATCTTTTAAAATATTCTCATTAAATGTTCAAACCAAGACATAAATTATGTGTCCTTAAGTATTATAGGCACCTCCTTGCCAAGTCCCTGCATCCTCTGTCCATGTATCTTGAGCCCCCTTCCTTTTAAGAGCTCCATGCTGCAGATACTGCTTAATCAAAGGACAATATAAAAGATGAAGCCTGCCATGGAAAGGAACAATATGGGAACAGGTTTCACAGAGGGAGGCTTGGGAGTTACAGGTCATTCCCATTGGCCATATGTTTTGGAGTCACAAGGTAAGACAGAATGTTGGGTAATCAACTTACTTGATCCACACATCTACCTCCTTCCTAATAGAATCTTTAATTTTTGTTCAGCTCTTCAACCACTACTATGCTTCAGGAAAGGTAGGCTGATCACATCCTCAGTCCAAAAAGGTGCCACTGGTTTAGTCTAAGACAATTGTGGTTAGTCTAAAAATAGCCAAGGGCAATTCCCTAGGAATCAAAAAATCATTGCTAACATCCTGAAAGGTAAGGAGATAGATCAGAGTGGCATACCATGGTATCCACTGTACAGTTAGCCTTCCATATCCACAAGTTTCACATCCACAGATTCAACCAACTCTGGATCAAAACTATTTGGAAAAAAATTGTACCTGTACTGAACATATACAGATTTTTTTATTTTCCTTTGTCATTG